CTGAACCGAACCTCCCAATGCGTGGATTTTACAATCAAATCCACTTATAGTGCTGAAGTTCCCCCCGAAGGGGAACAGATAATTCTATAAAACATATTTTGTTGTGTTCTATACAATTGTATATAGAATTTAATTCTAATGAAATTAATATATTTATGCAAAAAATTCTTAAAGGATCTTAGCATATCACTTCAGTCTTTACATTGTTTTCCAGTTACATTTAGAATATTTTTATTTATTTATTTAGAATAGAATAATAATTGGATAATAATAATAATAATAATACTACCTTTATTTATAATAAATATTTTATAAAAAGTATTTATTAAAATAATATAGAATTTTTATAGATTTATAAATAAATGGGGGCGTGGTTTTGTGTGGGCGGGGCTTGTGGACATAGGGGCGGAGCATAAATTATCACCCCAAGCTGAAGCCAAAAGTTGTCAGCCCCGTACGAAACTAAAAGATTTATGCAAAGCTAAAAGTGCTAAACTAAAAGATCTATGCTAAGCTAAAGGTGCTAAGCTAAAAGGTCTATGATCAGCTAAAAGCGTTAAATTAAATGAGCTATGTTAAATTAAAAGTGCTAAACTAAAATATCTATGCTAATTTAAAAGTCCTAAGCTAAAATATTAAGCCAAAAGTCCAAACTAAGTACTCACACTATGTACAGTTGTTTTGAACTGGGCCTAAGCATGCTTGTCCCCCCTCCCCTGAAGGCCTGCACTCACAATACATTCGGTCCTGGGCACACTTACGTCATCAGTGGATATTTCTTTAGTTATATCGCTTTAGTGGTTTGATATGCATTGACACGCAATCAAATATTTCGCTGAACAGATCAGCCACTTTTGACGCTCATAAACAATCATAAAGTCCTCATGCTGCAGGAATTAGGAGGTCTGCTGAAGATGCGCAGCTGTCATGCAGTGATGTGTCTGCGTCAACCTAAGACCGTTTGCGTTCATTGAACAATAAGAATAATTAATAAATCCATATGAAACAATCCCTTAAATGTCACATCTAGCTCTCAGTTTTGCACTCACACACAAGCGTACCACACCAAAGCCCAAGTGAACCATGCTGAGCCCGATTCAGAGCACTCACACTTTTTAAATGATCTGGGAAACGGGCCTGGGCACGGTTCGGATAGCAAAGTGTGAGTAGCCCCTAAATAATCTATACTAATCTAAAAGTGCTAAGCTAAAAGATCTATGTTAAGCTAAAAGTGCTAAACTATAACATCTATCATTTTTTTTTTTTTTCGGCTTGGTCCTTTTATTAATATGGGGTCACCACAGGGGAATGAACCGCCAACTTATCCAGCACATTTTACGCAGCTGATGCCCTTCCAGCGGCAACCCATCTCTGGGTCACACGCATACACCACAGACAATTTAGCTTACCCAATTCACCTGTACAGCATGTCTTTGGACTGTAGGGGAAACTGGAGAACTCGGAGGAAACCCACACAGAAACACCAACTGACCCAGCCGAGGCTCGAACCAGCGACCTTCTTGCTTTGAGGTGACAACACTACCTACTGCGCCTCTGCCTCGCCTAAAACATCCATGTTAAGCTAAAATATAAAATATATATCTATGCTAAGCTAAAAGTGCTGACCTAACAGATGTATGCTAAGCTAAAACTGTTAAGCCCCACCTTCTAGTACAGGAGCCAATCAGCAATCGCTATATGGTGAATAAAGCCCACCTTCTAATACAGGAGCCAATCAAAATCTAGAATGTCAATTCTCCAGGGGAGAGGATTGGACCAGACATGAGTTTCTGCAGATTTTGTGTGATACGAACATGTAGAAACTAAACTAAAGAGTTATTTTTATTGGTTATTCGTTATATGGAATGTAACTGTAAGCTTGGCAAGTAGTTTTGAAGAATTTGATGTTTTCCCATTCAAATACAATGCCCGAGCATACTGCCTGATAGGCGTGTTAAAGATTGCCGCAGAGTGAAATTACTTGCCTAAAAGGGACTTTGGTCAAGCTGGTTTTAGCTGATTATCTCCCAGCTGATCGACCAGCTAAAACCAGCCAACAAGCCTAGGCTAGTTTAAGCTGGATTTTTTCAGCAGGGGTGAGTTAACAGATGTATGCTAAGCTAAAAGTGCTCCTGCCAGACTCGAGATTGGTTGAATGGATTCAGAAATGGTAAAACTTAACAGTTTAAGTTCAGTACTGATTATTCTCCGCCTAATGTACTGTCACCATTGAAATAATATACATATTTTTTAAACTAAATCTAACAATAATTTTATACTTATTCATTATTAAATGTGTAATAATACTAATATTTTTTGTTAGTTTTTTAACATCAAAAATAAAATACAAATAAATAAATCCAGTCAAATAAGAAAATAGCAAGTCATATTTGCGATTCAGTACAACGACTTACTGCTGCAGCACGACTGCGATTTCTAGAAGCAGCACATACAGTATGAATATTTGTCCAGCCGCAGGCTAAATTAGCACGTCCAGATTAAGCCAGCGGATGAATAATACAGCAGTAAAAAATGCTGACTGGATTTCTTTGATCACCACTGGCCCACTTACAAACCACTGAACGGCAATCACCATGAAGCATCGTTATCCAGGTTTATCATCAATAATTTACAGCTGCGGGGGGAAACATGTGCCTCGGTCGCCTGTCGTCATGTGTCCCTTCTGCTAAATCCTGCTCCAGCGCTCTCATGTTTGTCCAAATATGGCAGATGGGAAGTGTAATTTCCAGCGCAATGCTAATTGACTGATACGAACTGGGTTTTGCAGCAGATTTGAAGTGGCTTAGCAACAAAGACTTAAGCCTCTCTGTGGCTTTTGGACTGTGTGTTTGTTTTCATGTGTGTGTGTATGTGCATGTGTGTTTTTAGTCATACGAAGCAGCCCTGCATGAAAAGAAGCTGCCATTTGAAGTCATTTGTTCGTGTTCATGTACATGTGGTTTTGATATGCTAAAAATAGTGTGTTGTTCTGACCTGAAGTGCAGTCAAGGGATTAGATTGAGGGGATTTGGAGTCTTATTTCTATGGTGGATGTGCATCTCGTTGTCTGTAGTACATAATTGCTGTGATTATAGTGTCAGGCTGAAGGTTTGCTTTTTGGTTAACCTGTAGCTTACAGTGGTGTGGGCTGTGTTTCAAAAGTCAAGCTTTCCTGTATATACACATTAACACATACTGTATTTTTACAAGGAACTTAAGTATTTATGATTTAATAATTATAGTAACATTACAAACATCTCTAAATTATTTATTCATTCATTTTCTTTTTGGCTTAGTCCCTTTGTTAATCTGGGGTCGCCACAGCAGAATGAACCGCCATATGTTTTGCTGGTAAACATTTCTAAATTATAAAATTTAATATTTAGAAAAGGAATAATAGCAGAAAATACGAAATTTATATTTGAAAAATAAATATGTATATCTTTTAGAAATGTTTATAATATTTATAAATACATATTTGTACAAATAATAAAATATTTATAAAAAAAATGAATAAATACATTTATATTAAATAATAATGATAATATATTTAAATATTATATTGATATATAAAATTATATATATATATATATATATATATATATATATATATATATATATATATATATATATATATATATATATATATATATATATATATATATATATAATTTTATATATAAATATAATATTTAGATAATAAATATATATTTAATTTAGATTTTATTAAATATAACTTAATTATTCATGATTTGATAATAATAATAATTATTATTATTATTTGTAGTAGTGGTAATATCAACATCATCATCGCTGCTACCTACATTTTATTTTCAAAATATAATATAATGTTTTATGATTTAATAAACAATATAACCAAGATGGTTACTACTCAAATGTATAGGCAATAAATATAATATTATAATATTTTACATATTATTATATGTATAATAGTGAATGTTAGTTCAATAAGGACTAGAATACTATGACCAAAAGTTTATATTAAACACATATTAATAAATAAAACAATTAATATGTTTTTTAAATGTAAACTAAGATAATCGACCTGCGTTCGCGTGGGTTTCCTATGGGCTCTCCGATTTCCCCCACAGTCCAAAGACATGAGGTACAGGTGAATTGGTTTGGCTAAATTGTCCATAGTGTATGAGTGTGTGTGTGGATGTTTCCCAGAGATGGGTTGTGGCTGTAAGGGCATCCGCTGCGTAAAAACTTGCTGGATAAGTTGGCGGTTCATTCCGCTGTGGCAACTCCGGATTAATGAAGGGACTAAGCCGACAAGAAAATGAATGAATGAATGAAGAAAATTGACATACTGTCAAATTATAGATGTATTAAAATGATGTGGTGAAAATGTGATATTTTGGTTGTAGGTTTTGTTTAATATGATACCATTAGCATCATTAATTGTAATATTACTCTTCAATATACACTAGTATTATAGTTATTGGTGCTGTAATGCATCGTAGTTAGTTATTTATATAACTGTTAACACAACCACAACTGGACAGTTTATTGCTCAGGCCTAGTTGCAAAATAATATCTCAAAATTATTAGAAAAATAGTCAAATGTAAGATATAAAGTCAAACATAGCAGATATAATAGGCAAATGTAAGATATAAAGTTATATAAAGAGCCTGTAAAATTCCGATGTCAGCTAATAATGCTTTACTCAGAATTGTGCTGATCTTGTGTCTTCAGTTTATGGTTTTGAATTCTATCAAATTGTGAGTTAAAAAGTTGCAGTTACTTCACAGTTTTAGTTCTGCGTGTAGTTTTTCAGAAAAAATGCAATAAAATAATGCTTCCAATACCAAGCATGGGCAATAATCAAATTGGAATGTTTATCTTGTAAAAGGTGTATGTTACCGTGAACAGAATGCAGTATTAATAACAGAATGAGGTTTTATCTTAACCTCCCTGGTTTTGTCAATGCACAAAGCCTTGCTGACATTTTTTGTCATTCGATTTTCAATCTCAGGACAGTAAGCAAGTCGTAGAATCATACAAGTCTGGCTTCGAGCCGCCGGGTGACGTGGATTTTGAGGACTACAGCGTGTCGATGAAGAGAGCAGTGTCTGAATCTAGCTTTCTGAACGCCCGCGGAGAGAGCAGACGCCGGAGCAGGAGCAAACTGTGGCCTTTACTCAAGAGAAATAAGGTAAGGAGCACAAGGCCTTGATCACACAAATAAACAAAGTCAACTTTGAGTGGAAAAAACCTGCTACGTCAGCCGCGTCTTTTCATTCGCCAGTCAAATAAATGCAGAGGTGGGGTTTCCGTTAGGGCGACAGCAGTGTTTGTGTTGTCAAGATGAGTACGGAGACTTTTAAACATAGAAGAGAGACTAGTGGTAACACAAATGGCTTCAGAAGATTTGAGATGTAGTACACCTACATGACATCTGTCTTTAGCCTGCCTTCATAATAACAGGCTACCTTCATAGCTTTTGTTGGCTTATAAATTCTACAGAATATAGCACACGCGCAAAATGGGATTTAGATCGGTCTCAGCTGGCCGATACCCAATCCAGCATAAATATGCGGTATCAAAGCCGATATCTGACCCAAGTATTGGATTGGTGGCTCTCTAGTTGTCATTTTGCATCTTTATTGCATGTGCTTGAAATTTTTTAACTAGTTTTTTAGTAGAGAGATGCTGTACAACGGCAATTTAAACCCACAATCTCTCACTATCGCAAAATTTTGTCTCCCCTTGTGGCTATTAAAATAACTGCAGCAATCGCAGTCATTTGAAACAACCGCAGTTAGGTTAGATTCCACAATTAGATTCCGTTTGGCTATTTAATAATCAATAATAACTCTGTGGAAGAATTACAGCACCACATACTGGTCTGACATGTAAACTACATTGTTTATATTCAGTTTCAGTGTTTCAAATGTACTTTTCAACATAGGCTTAATCTAAAAATGTGGTCCCGCAGACGTTTCTGGCAAACGCGTATTACGTAGTCGGAGGTACGTTCGGCTGCATTTCATTTTTTTTTAGGTGAACGCCACGGGGCGGTATGACGTCGTTCCCTTTGGTGCTTACTTACTGACCGCTTACCTCCGATTAGAGGGCTTTCCTGCCGCAACCAGATTGTCCAGCTAGCTCGTCGTGTATGTCGGCGGACTTGAGGCACAGAGAGGAGTTGACCACGACAAACAGATTCGAGTCCGGGGTTCCAGAAATCAGGTTAGATAAAAACAGAATCCAAAAAAATTTAGCGAAAGAGTGAACAACAGGGTGAGAATGTGATAAAATCAGAAATTGTGTTAAAAAATCAGACAAGGTTTTTGGTTTTTTTCTGGACGGCTTTTGTAAATCGTTGGTTGGGTTTAGGGAAGTAAGCGGGCGGACGAGTTAATTGGTAAAATTGGTTGGATTTAGGAAAGGAGGAGGGTGGGTCGGTCGATTGGCCGGTCGCCCAGTCAATCATTCAGTCGGTCAACATCGGCCTCCGGCGGGTTCACGCGAGAACAGCGCGGGGGCGAACGGACTCGTGAAAACAAAAACTGCAAAAATACGTACCTCCCGGGACGTATTTTGCAGTATCCAGAAATTACCACAGGACTATGTTTTCAGAGTGAGTCTGGGTTGGTACTTTTTATTTAAAAAAAAGGAAAGAAAAAAAGACTGGATAGTGAAATCTCTGGCTGGAATCGGATGTAGCCTTCATTTAATTCATTGCTATTAAACATGGATTACTATAACTTTTTTATGCAGGTTGTTAAAGTGATAGTTCACCCAAAAATATCACTACTAACAAGTGTTTCTGAATTTGAAACTATAGTTTGCAATGTGCGAAACTCAAAAATGTCTAAAGATTGTCTTTGCCCTTTAATGTTGTTTCTTTCCTCACTGTCTTTCTTCTCGTTTTCCTCCATTCCACTTCTCAATGTGCTCCATCACACCCTCATCTGTAGCTTATGTCTTTGTTAGCATCGCCCCGTCAGCCCCCTCCCCCTCCCCCCACCTCCCCATCCCCGGACGGCCTCCAGAACGGCCCCCAGTCCCCGCAGCAGCCCAAGGAGCCCCTGAGCCAGCGTCTCAATGACTTCATGGGCACCAAACACAAAATGCACTGCCTGCGGAGCCTCAAACGTGGGGTAAGTTCACTTCACTTCTGTATCTCTGTTTACACCAGATATTTTAAGAAGCCTTTTGGTTGATCAGATCACAAGGGAGACAGATTGCTATTCTTAAAGTACAGAGGAAATCAAAAGTAACTGTATTGATTTAGTTAGCTCACATTGCTAGTTTTGTGGTCAAAAATTAATCTGGGAATGTCATTAACTTCCTGTTTGTTTTCAATAAAATTTACAGATTATGTATGTTTGAGGTATACATCCAACTGTACATCCTGACAGCGCTATGACAACAAAAGGAAACATCTAGGAGGAGGTGTCTGTTAGGTTGTAATTAGGGCTGTGTATTATGGGCAAAATAAATGTATCACGATTTTTTTGAACAGCGCTGCAATTTCAATTTTAATCAGGATTTTGACACACAAACGTTTTACAGTGTGAATGCACGCGCATATTAGGAGCGCGCATATTAGGAGCAACGCAATCATATATTTCAGGCGCACCCAGTTGAAAGCATCAAAGGTTTATGGTCGCATACCTACGACAAAGGAGCGCGAGCGCAAAACGCGTTGAAAATGCTAAGGGAAGCGTTGTGCCTCGCACTTTACACACGCTTTTAGAGAATGCGATATGTGACTGACAGGTCTTACAAATGATCTGGTTCTACGATACATCAGCCTTCTTGTATGCAAAGTAATCCCACACCACAGATGTTTTGGGCTTGAAGTCCTCATGTGCTGAACTCATCACCCCTGTTTATGCAGGCTGCGTTATGTTTGGTTCAAACAGCATATTGCGGGAAAAGCATCACCTGGGACTGGAGCACGCAAAAACAAAATCGTGCTGTTAGGCGATTTAGAAATCGTAGATGTTCAAATCACGATTTTGATACGATTTCAATTAATAGCACAGCCCTAGTTGTAATAACTCTCCCGAAGACCTTTTCTGAATGAAACACTTACTTTCCTTCATCCAATCAGCTCACTGTAGAAAAAAACAAGCCACACCCACTGTTCTCATTTAATATTTCATTTCTCTGGGAGCTGCATCACAATATGGAAAAAAACGATGCAGCTTCCAGGTCACGCAAACTTTAAGAAGAAATTTGTTCTTAACTACACACAAAAAAATATTTATTTTTGCTTGTTCAAACTACTTATTTAAAATAAGCTGAACCAACACAATTTTTGAGATTTCATTGAGACAACTTAATCTTTTTATGTTCAATCCACACAAATTTGTTAAAGTGCTAAGTTAACTTAATCGGATGTGTTGGGTCAACATGAATGAATTGTGTGGTCCTCTGCATTTTTTACAGTGAATCATTTTCTTCTCCATTTCTAACTTGAAAGCAAAATTTTATAATATTTTTAATAACCTAAAAAAACTTTTAAAAAAAGAATCTCTAAAAGGATCCTAAATAGATTCACCCAAAAGTGAAAAGTATGTCGTAATTTACTTACCCTTGACTTGTTCCAAACCCTATTTAAACGCAAAGGAAAATATACCCTTGAATTCTATAGTATTATTTGTTCCTACTTTGGATGTCATTGGCTGCTTTTTCCCAACATTCCTCAGAATATCTTGTTTTGTGTTTAACCGAAGAAAAAAATCCATAAAAGTTTTGATAAATTGACTTCAAATTATTAAAATAAGAGATCAGACTATCACGACTGCTGTAGTTATTCCAGTTGTGTTATTTTTTGGTATGTATCTTCAGGAAATCACTGAAGGCAATGATATCATGTTATCATAATGATATAATGTGACAACAAGTCGTAACTGTACTGTGCATTTACACCGTGGCCATATTCATCTATGTAAACACACGAATACAACATTAACATTATAGCAGACACTGTAAAAAGGTCATTTCAAGCCACTAGACTTTTCTGACAGGGATTCGAGTGTCATCGACTGACAGATGTGAAAGTATGTTGTGGGACTGTTATACAGGAGTTATTATTAGGAATTATGGATAGGACATTTATTCTGGGGAATTTTTGTAACCCTTGGTTTTCAAGTGTGGTCCTAAACAATCTCAGTTTTAAGGGCTATCTAGCCCTTCCCCTTAGCCCTACGCCTTGAAGCTAAAGAGTATTGTGACACCCCTACCCCTTAAAAGTGAGAGGAAGGCCAGAACTTATACTTTTTCAGTTTTAACATGCATATACGTTGCTGTTTTCATTCACAATTTGTTTAATAAATATTTTAGAACATAATTAATAAATATATTGAGTGTTTTAGGAACAAAAACATGCCACAAATCAGGAATTCCTGCTTTAACAGCCACAAAACTAATTTGTGATAGAATTGGGACTGGTAAGAGAACATTGTGTTTTTTACTTCTAGGACAATACAACTTACAATGATGAATGGAAAAGCTTAATGAGGCCAAAAAATACAGCTGTTTGAGTACATTCAACCACTTACTCATCTAAACTACAACACCAAACTAGAAGTCATGTATGGTGGACAAGCTTGAAGTGTTTCAGCTCTTATTTACACCTGCACTTAGCGTTAGCCGCTTATGACCGAAAATGCATCCTAATACCTGGTGTAAACAGAGCTTGTGTGTCTTTCCCGTGGATCTAATTGGACGACTCTGAAGACTAAGACATCGTAAGCTTGGTTTGGTTATATAGTGATGTGTGAATGCATGAAGTGTCTTGTTGCCATGCTTTTTGTCAGTGCCATCCTAAACATACTGTATCTGTCTTAACAAGCAGCATAAACATTTGTCAGTGTGTGTATTAACCGATTCTCCTAACACATCTTTCTTCTTTTAACATTCACAGCTTTCTCTAAAGCTGGTAAGTCTGACTTGATATTAAATCACAAAACCTTCCAGATATACCAAAGTTACCAGTGAGGGAATACATTGTCTGACTTGAATTCCAAAGACTAGGGATAACGCAGGTTTATTAGGCCATGTCCCAATGTTCTAATTTTACTTACTACTTTTACTACTTCACCTTGTTTTGTTTATAAAGGGTTTATTCACCTTGTTTTGTTTATTAAGGGTTTATTAACAAATCTTTTGGAGTTAAAAACTACCACTAAAGAGCAAATGTAGGCAGAAAAACGTGTAAACAAAATGATTTTTGTAGCAATATTTTATGTTTTTTATTTCTCTGTATATGCAGCTCATTTCTACTAGCTATTATTTCTACTAACTGCCCACTGTGGCCCTTAACTGACCAGTAAACAGCCAATAGTTTCTAATGCTAATAATGCAAAGTATACCATTTTTTAATACTACACACGAGGCAGTGACTGGAAGTTTCTTCTAGGGCTATGACTAGGCTATACCTTAAATTATCTCATGTTTTAATGCACTGTTTGTGTTCTGTTAGTCATTATCTTACTTCAAACTTTATATCACTCCACAGGGAACAGGCCAGGAAGACTACAGTCATCTACCGCCTGAGCAGAGGAGGAAGAAACTGCAAGCCAAACTCAATGACGTTAACAAGGACATCCAGAAAGAGATGGATCAGAGGTACAGTAAATCATTAGCTGCCATGCTGCTAATAGTATCAGCCTTTATGCCAAATACCACATCACCATCATCAAGAAAACTATTTATAAGCTTCACTATCGTTCAAAACCCTGTACGTTTTATATATATTTTGATAGAAATGAGTTATTTTATTTAGCAAAGACACATTCAATTAATCAAAAGTGTTGGTAAAGACATTTATAATATTGCAAAAGATTTGTAATTCTGAGGCTAATAGGCTACTTTAAAGAAAAAAAGATTCAAAAGTTCGAAGTCGGCATTACAGTGGCGCAGTGGGTAGCATGATCACCTCACTGCATGAAGGTCACTGGTTCGAGCCTTTCTGGGTCAGTTGGCATTTCTGAGTGGAGTTTGCATGTTCTCCCCGTTTTGATGTGGGATTTCTGCAAGTGCTCCGGTTTCCCCCACAAGCCCAAAGACATGCGCTATAGGTGAATTGTGTAAGCTAAATTGTCCGTAGTGTATAATTCATACATGTTTTCTGTACGTTGCTAAGCAGTGTAAACTGATGCTGAATGGCGGCACCGGTATGTATACACTCATAGACAACAATGTTAAGAATATTAAAAGACGTGGCACGACACAACACTTCACATCCAGTGAGCAATTCTCAGCCAGCCATCTGTTCACAGCATGTCAGAACGCAAAATGCTGGATATATGGATTATACATTTATTTTTAGAGGACTCAGAGGAGGAATATGGTCTGTTAAAATATATATTGTTTTAGTTTAATGTGTATATTGTGAAATTTGTCATGTATGTTTATAATGAGGCAACAAACACGTCTAGGCTGCTAAGTGTTTAATGCACAGTTATTAATCGTGTTGTATAACTCTTATTCTTCATCATTTGAGTTTAAGGACAACAATATATATATATAATATATATATATATGATCAAACTCTATGGTAGTAGTAACGGAGTTCATATGCTTATAATTGTTGTTTCAACTTCTTACATTTTTTTGCAGGGATGCTTTGACTAAAATGAAAGATGTCTACATTAAGAATCCTCACTTGGGCGATCCAGACAGTATAGATCCACGGTTAGAAGAAATCACTCAAAGCTTGGAGAAGTTGCAGTTTGAGGCACATAAATACGAGGTGTGACATTCACAAATTCGGAGACCTCTAACAATATGCTAATCGGTGGTCAGGACCTTTTACATGACCTGTCGTTTTGCTTTTTCTCAGGGCTGGTTGACGGAGGTGGAGAGAAAGTTACTTGAAAAGGGATCAGAGTCCCAAAGAAGACAGAGCAGCCATTTTGATTCGCAGGGCAATACACCTCTTACAAACAACTACGGTCAAAACCGAGAGAGGTACTTCAGTCACTAGACAGCAGGGCCAAACATGATATAATGCATCAGAATAAATGTGTTAGATTTCTTTACAGGAGTCATGTAATGATATAACAGTTCAGCAATAGCTCATAAGCAGGAGTGCTGTTTTCATAAATAGAAGTGAGAATGATTTATGCAACAGTTCAACAAACAAGAAGTTAATACTGAGTTACATTTTGGACACAATACTGTCTGTTTTTTTTCTTGCATCTATGAAAATAGTTCTAAATCAGAGATGCCCAAACTAGGGCCCGCAGGCCAAAGTTGGCCAATGGTATTATTTGATTTGACCCACCTTCTCAGATGGGAACACAAATATAAATAAAGAAATGAAACAAAGAAATGCAAAATAAGAACATTTAAGTAAATAAACAAATATACAGAATTTAAACAAATAATTCATTAATAAATTACAACATTTTAATTATCTAATAGGGATATGTTTGAAGGAAATGCTTTTGACAGAGATTGTCATTTCTTATTTAACAAAAAAAGATTGTCTTATTGTTGAGTACAAAAAAAGCGAACTAAAATGAAATGTTGTAAATGAATACGATTTTTTAAGATGTAAATATAGTCACTCGATGATGACATCGGCAAGAAAAGGCAAAGGCAGGTGCAGCATAACTAGTGTATTCAGCATTGAACTCTGATGTGTTAGAAATGGGGATTGTTTATGTTTTTACTGTAATAAGTTCATTATAAAATCTTTTTAAATGTTACTGCATTAGGTAATGCAATTATTTTCTAATTAGTTTTAAGTCTTAGGAAATAAAAGAGGAAATTACTTCAGCAACTTTAACGCAATACAGTTTGGTATTTTTACCTTTGGCCCACAGCCTTCTATCAAGTTCAGTTTTTGGCCCTTTGTTTGGCCAACCCTGTTCTAAACAAAGCCCAAGCAGATTATCATTGAATATGAAAGTGAAAGCATGCTGAAATATTAGCGAGTGCTGTTTATTTGTTTGGAAAATTGACCGAAATGACCATCTGATCATTTTTTCATATTTATTCTAATAATATTTTGTATCGACCAGATTTTGTATGTTTTTCAGACATTTATCCATTAAAGTTAAATCAAATACAAGCAATTTAAATACAAACATTGTCAACAAATGACAAAACTAAAAAGTAAACTAAATTAAATAACTATTTAAACTAAAATTAAAAGGGAAAAACAAATGAATTATCGAGTATGATAGTGAAAGCATGCTGAAATATTAGCGAGTGCTGTTTATCCGTTAGGAAAATTGACCGAAATGACCATCTAATCATTTCTTCATATTTATTCTATAAATATTTTGTATTAAGCTTATTGTTTTGTTCATTTCTGTACTGAAAGCTCGAAAGAAAAAAAGTCATCTTCTTCATGATCTGACTGCAGTCTCGCTTCATCTGTCATTTCTCTTTACAATTTAAGTCTATAATGCATAATTTTAGCCAACGTTTATATATATATATATATAAATTGATTGATTCTATAGATTTTTGCAAAACTTGACAACTAAAATGAGGCCATGTATGAAAAAGTCTCTGATTTCTATTTGGTGATGCTGTATGTGGTTGTCAAAATTAAAGTGCACCTTTTCACTTATAATGTCTTATTACTTACCATCATAAATTAAAATAACGACAGCTGAGTGGAGTTTGTGGGACTCTGAAAAATCAACCCTGAAACTCTGAGCAATGTGAGGAGAGTTTACTCCCTCATGACTTGTTTATACTATTTGGTCAGTTTAGAAACTTTGCCGTGTGAAAGTAAACCGCACCAAGAACAAACTTAAACATTGCAACAATTTTAATCCCTGTTTTAGAAAAAAACAATCAATCTACAGGTGTGAAAGCACCTTATGAGTAACAGTGCAGTGTTTTAATACTGAACGGATCTCTTTTTGAACAAATCATTTGAGTCAATGATTCATTTATTCAACAAAAAGGTGATTCAAAATGAATCAGCCGTTTTGATCAAATCATTTGATCACACTATTCATTGGCACTTTAGGATATTGCCGCCATCTACTGTGGTTTTTATTGCTATTCATTTGTATCAGACACAAAATAAAAATTAAAAATAAATAAATGATGTCAACTACTTTACAAGCAAGCAGTATAAGACATTGTAACATTACTGTGTCTATGACATCAAAGTTCATTTTAGACAAAATAATAAAACTTTTGTGCTTCACGAGTGAAAATAGTTGCAAACAAAGCTGGAGCAGAACATTTGTGAACAACCTCTCAGAACAACACTGCAGTGTTTTGTTCTATATGAATCACTTTAGAACAAATCAATCGAGTCAGTAAATCAATGATTCAGTGATTCTTTCGTAAAGAGAGTCACTTGCTTTGTTCTTAATGAATCAGCCATTTTGAGCAAAGCATTTAAATGAATGATTCAGTGAATTTCCCATCAAACAGGTACTTGACGTCATCGGCTGGAGGATTGAGGTCATATTTATATATTCATGAAAGACAAAAATCGACAAAGCCCTACTTCACATGAGGCTTTGTAACCTGCATATTCTGCGTAATCTGAATATAACGCCAAAGTTAATTGAGTCTGTTTTACGTATTGCATGTCTTCTGCACATAGTCCGGATGGCAGCTACACGGAAGATCCCAGCACAGAGAACACGATGCAGTTCAAATCCCGCAGTACTGAGTTTGATGACGAGTTCGATGAAGAGGAGCCTTTACCCACCATTGGAACATGCAAAGCACTTTATCCATTTGAAGGTAATAGAGAAACACTGACTACATCAATTTGTTAAGTTGTGCTGGGAATTCATGATTGCTTATGGTGAAAATGTGCAGTTTGGGGGATCATGAGAATCAAAAATATATTAAGGCCCAGGCCCAATTCTAATCCATACCACTTCAAAATGTGCCCCTAAGAAATGGGACAGCACTACAACACCTGCACACACCATTATATGTCATCGCGATCTCTTGCTTCATATGAAATCAACGATCGTGACTGCTGTAGTTATTCCAGTTGCGTTATTTTTTGGTATTTATCTTCAGGAAATCACTGAAGGCAATGATATCCCGTTGTTATAACGATATAATGTGGCAATGAGATCGTAACTTTACTCTGCATTTACTCCGTGGCCATATTCATCTATGTAAACACACGACAGTAGACACTGTGAAAAGGTCATTCGCAGCCACTAGACTTTTCTGACTGGGGATTCGAGTGTCATTGAGTGACAGAATGTTGTTGGACTCCTATACAGGAGTTATGATTATGGATTGTAGATAGCAAAATTTATCGTTTTTTTATTTTAGCGTTTTCTTTTAAGCATGACGGTAAAACACAAACGCAATTATGAATGTATTCAAATATGTGCTTGTTTATTGTAAAAATTTGTAATAATTACAAAAAAGTGTGCAGCCATGCTATTGTTGGAGATTGTGTATTTTGGGAAAATTTTGAACCCCTTGTTTTCGAGTGTGGTCCTGAAAAATCTGTTTTATTTATTTATTTATATTTTTTATTTTTTTATTAGAATATGCAAAAATCATACAAATACAAGAAAACATCAACAAATAACAAATACAAAGCAACAAAACAAAAACAACAACAATATAGTCAGGTACTGGTATGTGCGTGAGTGTGTGTGTGTGTATGCATGTAAAGGTAACTTGGTGGACAGGTCAGAGTACATACATAAGGAACAATAAGAGTCAATAAATAAAGCAAGTGTCACAGATATAAATAAAACATATAGAAAGAAACCAGTCAGAGGTAGGGAGTAACAACAATGCTTATTAATGTATGATAGTAAAAATGAAAGTAAAAAGAAAGAAAGGACAACAGTAATGATAACAGACAATAATAATAAATCACAAGTGCTACACCAACTACTACTACAGAAAGTTACTTATATTACAACTACTACTGCTTCTACTACAGCCACAACCACGACTATTATTACTACAATGTCTAAAAAAAAATCTATGTTTTAAGGGGTATCCCCTTAGCTCTACACCTTCAAGTTCAAGAGAATTTGGATACCCCTACCCCTTCACATGAACGCGCCAAATGAGGGGTAGGGGTAAGAGGAAGGGCTAAGGAGTAGAATTGAATTGGGCCCCAAGTCAAATATAAATTTTGACTGGTTCAAAATCTTTTGTTATAAGTAAATTTGAGCATGAACAAATTTGGATAAAAAATTTGATCTGACATTTATTAACCTGATTTTGTATTTTTTTCTGACAAATATCCATTCAAATTATATCAAATACAAGCAATATAAATACAAACATTGTCAACAAATGACAAAAATAAAAAGTAAACTAAATTAAATAACTAATTAAACTAAAATTAAAAGGGAAAAACAAACTAATTATATAAATTAATATAGACAAACAGTTAAAAATATATTATTTAAAGTTTTAATCTTTTGATTGCATATTTTAGTAATAAATAAAACAAATAACATAACAAAAATAATATACTTTATAATTAACTATTTTGAATTGGATTTTTATTTTTATTTTTTTATTCAGTTATCTAAATAAATAAATAAAAACTATCTTAAACAATTATAAAATAAAAAAGCAAAATGATAATAATAAATCTACAAAAAAAATTTAAATAATATACTCAGCTAAAATAATTTAAATAAGAACAACCATAAAATGGATTTTCTTTACACCTTTTTTTTTTTTTTTTTTTTTTAAACGTGCTAGATAAGTTGGTGGTTCATTCCGCTGTGGTGACCCCGGATTAATAAAGGGACTAAGCCAAAAAGAAAATTAATGAATGTCAAAGATAAAATAAATCAATTATTAGAAAAGAGTCATTAAAACTATTATGATTAGAAATGTGTTTTAAAAAACTCCGTTAAACAGAAATTGGGGAAAAACTAAACAGGGTGGCTAAAAATTCAGAGGTGCTAATAATTCTGACTTCAACTGTATATATACATAATATATATCGCCCATACATAAAAACCAATTCTAGCAACATTTTAGCTGATCGTGCAACATCTCTATGTCTACTGCAGGTGTCATTATGTTTAAAAAAACACTATAGTATTAACTATAAATTACTATAGTATATTTTTATGTGGGTGCCTGACAACTGAAAATAGATCTGGTAGCAGATATCGCAGCCTCTGTTACATTTTTACCTTGCAATTTTTGTGTTAAAATTTATTAGTATTTATTTAGAATATGTGTTTTAACATTATGATTCAAATGCCTTATTATTTAATTGTTAAAATGACTATAATTAAAGAAAATATTATTAATAATAAAATAATAAGTGTACTTTGGAAGAATGTAAACCATACATACACACATATATATATATATATATATATATATATATATATATATATATATATATATAGTGCACATACAGTATATTGTCATTCTGGCATTAGATAATGAGTGGCATAAAATGCCAATTGTTAATAATTAGCAATAATATGACAATAATATCGTTTATTGCAATGTATTTTGGTGCAATATATCGTTCAGCAAAAAAATAGATATCGTGACAGGCCTAATTGCATGTTTTTGTGTGTGTAGGTCAGAATGAAGGCACTATATCCATGGCCGAGGGCGAGATGCTGTATGTAATCGAGGAGGATAAAGGGGACGGATGGACCCGCGTGCGCAGAAATGAGGACGAGGAGGGTTACGTGCCCACATCCTACATCAAACTCTTTTTGGACACCAATGCCAAAGGTGCTATGACATACATATAATACCACATCATTAGAGAACGCCGTTTAACTGTTCATACAGCAGAGGAACAGCCGATACAGCACTTCCTGTTTTTACACGTTCAAATTGCCATGTTTCAGTTGTGCTCTTTTTTACATTCTCAATTATCTGTCTCTCAGAATTGATGGGTAAATTAGGCAATAAAGACACAGCTGCTGTGTCATTTTGATATATCAGATATAAAAAAAAACGCTGCTTTATTGACATATCATGTTCATATTAGCATTGCAGCTTGGCGCTATGGTGGTTTTCTGCTACAACGCTGAGATATTTAGATATTCATGTTCATAATTTTTTAATGATCTACAAGCGATCAGATACTTTAGAATACGAGCAGGAAATAAAACAGTATTCTGAAACTTTCTGGCAATAAAACCGATTCTTATTTTGACCTTAAAACGACAGAAAAAAAGTAGCAATCCTGCATTTTAACTAGTCAAAGAGTGTTTTTAATTGTAAGGATTTTTTAAGACGTCACACTAGCTGACTTGAGAGAATCTTTTTGCATGAGAGATGGAATAGAATATTTTCTCAGGTACGTTTACTTTAATGTACATCCTTGTACCTCAAATCCTGAACATTCAGGATTTTTTTTCGTTTGCTTTTCCCGGCGGAAAAATCACATTCATATGGAAGCTCATTTCTGCCGCTGAAAAACACAAAAAACAAAGGTAATTGTGACTTTTTTGTCTCTTTGAGTTTATATCTGACAATTCTGACTTTTTCCTTATGATTAAACCTGTGTGTCACACAATTTGATGTACTAATAAGAAAAAAGTCGCTGGAAAAACAAAGTCAGAATTGCAAGATTTGTGGGGGAAAATTAACAGAATTCAGGATTCATTTCTTGCGATTTTAGTTTATATCTCGCATTTCAGATTATTATTATTTTTTTTCAGAGCTGAAAATGCTCTCAAAATTAAGTGTATAAGCTTAAGTCATTTCCAGTTTAATTACTTAATCTCTTCTGATAATATTCTGATAAAATTCTGATTTAATTTCTCAGAATTGTAAGTTCATATTTCAAACTCTAACAAGTTGGGGTGTGACGAGATCTCGTGCTAACATATAAAAGGAGTCTGGAATCTCAGTTCATCTGTTATTCCTCTATAATGCATAATTCTAGCCAACGTGAAAAAAAGTTTTGAAATGTCTTATCCTAATTTTAAAATAACTAATTTAATGTTACAAAAAATGACAGGCAATAGATTGATTTGTTCATGAAATGAGGCTATGAATGAGAAAGTCTTACTTCTATGATTTTCATATTTGGTGACAATTCAAAACTGAAAAGCGCACCGTTTCATTTATAAAATCTCATTTCTCATCATCATAAATTAAAATACCGACATTTGGCAGTTGAGTCGAATCCGTGAAAAATAAACCCTGAAACTCTGACCAATGTGAGGAGAGTTTACTCACATGCAGGGCTTAATAGTATATATGCAGGGCTAGTGTTTCTTCCCATACTGATAAACTTGGTGAACGGTTAATATGACTTTTTTCCATTTTATACTGTTCCTTTTACAGCACCGATTCTGTAATGTAATTAAAATATACAGAGTTAAATAGACTTCAGCGTTCATGTTGAAGCGTAAACAGAGATGAAAAAGATATTTACACACACGCACCTGTCATCTTCAATACAGAAGTGCGCTCATTTTTGCGATTGTTTTAGATATTCCGATTCAGTTAGAAGAAATGACTAGGAACAATAAATGGCAGAAAATGGTCAAACTACTTGGTCTATAAAGAAGCGTTTGCATGACTATTCAGACAAAGTATAATAATATAATAAGAAAATATCAGTTTGCAACATCAAGCAGCAAAACAAGCTGTTTTTAATGTCTAAAAATGAACGGAAGTGAATGAAACCGGAAGTCTCGAGCCAAAAAAGATTCAAATGGCTGCTCCCGCTTATACATGGAGAATAAGGTAAATAGCAGGCTAGCCTGTGTGTGGCAGCATTGTGTCAACGTAAATGAGTCGGCGGATCTGGTTTAAAAAAATGGGAATTAATTTGTTTTTGTTTTCTGGTGATTTTATTTTTTGTTATTCGAAATAAAAAATGAAAATCAAATCATTTTGATATTCTGCTTTTACATTTTTCTCCATGAAAAATAAAAACACCTCGTATTTCAATATTCGTTTTTTAATTTAAAAAACGAAAAAAAAAAAAAAACGGCAAATTTTTGTTCTTCAATACATTTCTAAAATGAAAATCCAATGAAAAAAAGATACACGAAACCCCCCAAACTCTGCTCTTCACTTTCGTTCGCGACACCTCTCCCTACTTGGGTAACATGCCCATGATCCGCTACCCCGATCTGTTCCAGGACCTCGTAATTTACAAATTAAGCACGTCAAACGTGACTTATTTTAACTATTTTTGTCCATTTAGAAACTTTGCCGTGTGAAAGTAAACCGCAGGTGCCTAAGTCCACTATTTTGCGTGATTAGTTATACCTTGACTTTTTCAAAGAATTTTCTTCTTTACAATAATAATGATTTTTATACAATTGCAAGAGCATTTATCTTTTGAAAATCGCAAGATAAAGTCAAAAATATTTACAAAACAATTGTGCGACACAAAAGTCATAATTACCTTTTTTCCTTTTTTTATTTCACGGCAGATGACCTTCAACACATGCAATGTAAATGCATATCGCTAAATGGGGAGAGCTCAAATACTCAATGCATGCATCTATGAGACTTTAGCTATTGTAGCTTCGCAATGTACTGCTGTCCAAAAAAAAAAAACAACCCATAGTTAACACGATGCCTTTCAGTGTAGTGAGCGTTGAAGCAATAATTCAAAAGATGCATGATATTCATACGCTGGAAAAGCCAACAGATTGTGAGTTTCCCAGAAGGTCACAAAAAAACAGCAGGTAAAAGCGCTCTGTGTGCATGCTATAGGCTATTTATTGCTGCGTCATTTGTCCATAGCTTTATCAGCAGCTGTTAAATACGCTTAATAATGTCGCAAACTGAATATACAAACTATTTTGTATGGGTTTTTTATACTGTACCCGTCTTCATATCCAGATCAGTGGTTTACTGAACATTTTTAACCCATGATTCAACGATTGTATTCAATGCTAACTGTATATGCAACATCTCTAACATGTCTTGTGTGATGTTTTTTGTTTTGTTTTATTTGTTTCTTTTTTTTTTTGCTTTTTCTTTCTGTTCCTTTCTTTTGCAGATCCCTAAAAGTGTTTGGCTGGCACAGGAGTGGCAGGGCAAGCGTCCTTGCGTGAAACGTCCTAACTGTAGTCAGAGAGACGGGACTAACTGAAAGGATAATCCATTTTTAACACAACGCCCTCTCGTCTGCCGTAGGAAACGCGAAAAAAGCGCTCTTTTTCATGCCTAGCGTGCTGATTATTTGCAAAAAGCTTGCTTGTCGTATGGACCTAGCATATTTAGCCGTGTGCCGTAGCTGCTTGCCGTCAGAGCCGAGCCTTTAGGTTTGAGGCACAGAGTAAGTGCCGTCTACATGTTATTGCCTGGCTTGCTTCAGAGCCAAGAGGAGTTTTTATTTGGTTTGTTTTGTTTTTTCTCATCAAGACATTAGAACTAATAAATATTTGTCAGTGCAGACTGTTCAGTTATGTGAAAAATGTGGGGGATAAATGGGAGTTGTTTTATACATTATAGGCTAATGTTGTTTTTTTTCAGTTGTTACAGTGTTTGCAAGGCGGCGCTGTGTTGAAGTCCTGCTTTGTTCTCTTTTTTGGCGCAGTTTAATTTCAATAGGGTCTCTATTGAATGAGATTGTTTATTTATTTACCCTAGTAAAAGTTCATTTTAATGATGTTTTTCTTCAGTAGATTATTAAAGAGCATTTTTTGTGGTGCTTTTTTGAGAGTAAAAAAAATAGGCATATCAAAATTAATAGATGACTTCCATGGTTATAAAACAAATACTCTAGAAGTTAACGGTTAACTGTTTTCAACATTTTTCCAACTTCCTTTGAGTTAAACAGAAAAAAAGAAACTCACTAAAAAGCAGAACTTTCATTTGTGGGTGAACTACTCTTTTAAATGGACATTTTGTGAGGGAAACTTAAAATAATTTTCAACATAAGACCTTAATGAAAGGGAACCAGGAGGGATTCATTTAGTTGTTCTTGTATTAATTAATTAATGTATGTAAACATACAGGCGTGCCAACATTAATGACTTTGTCTAATGCAGTTAAGGGGGTAGTTCACCCAGAAAATGTACTCACTATTTACTCTCCCGCCAGTTTTGCCAAATCATGAGTTGCTTTTTTGTGTTAAACACAAAAGAAAATATTTTGAAAAATGTTAGAAAGCTATAACCATGGACTTCCAATGTGGGAAAAACAAATACAGTAAGAGGCAATGATTACCGGATTTCAACATTTTTCAAACAAACTTTTTTTGTGTTCAACAGGAAAAAAAACTCCAAAAGGATTGCGACAAAAAAAGCAGAATTTTCCATTTTTGAGTGAACTATCCCTTTAAATTGTAATTTTGTGAAAGAAACCTAAAATTATTTATAACATAAGACCTTAAAGAATGGTCAGAAGGGAAACATGAGGGATTCATTTAGTTGTTCTTGTATTTATTTATTTATATAAAGATACAGGCAAATCAAAGTTAATATCTGTGTGAAATGCATTTAAAGGGATAGTTCACTCAAAAATGAAAATTTACTCACCATTTACTCTTCTTCAAGCGTCCAAACCATGAGTTTCTTTTTTCTGTTGAAAAAAAAAAGAAGATATTTTTAAAAAAGTGTTAGAAAGCTGTAACCAGCAAACAAATACTATGGAAGTCGATTGTTACAGGTTTTCAACACTTTTCCAACTTCTTTTGAGTTCAACAGAAGAAAAAAACTTACTAAAAAGCTGAATTTTTACTTACCATTTACTCAACCTCAAGTGGTCCCAAACAATGAGTTTTTATTTCTGTTGAAATCAAAAGAAGATATTTTGAAAAATGTTAGAAAGCTGTAACCATTGACATTCAATGTAGTTTGCTTTTGAGTTCACCACAAAAAAAGAATCTCAAACAGGTTTGTGACAACAAAAACAATTGGGTGAACTAGCCCTTTAAATCGCCATTTTGTGAGAGAAACTAAAACCTATTTATAGCATAAGACCCTAATGTGTCAGAAGGGAAGAAAGAGGGATTAATGTAGTTTTTTCCAGTATTTATTGAATTATTGTTACTCTCAAAGTGCCAATAAGCCAATAAGAGCACCACATCTTCAGCCAACATTTTTCTTTAACATTATACTGAGGAAAAAAAAAATCACCTAAATGCTTGAATGGCCTTATGGTGAGTAAACTAGAGAGTAAATACTTGTTATACTATACAATTAACCCAATTTTAAATGTAAGAAATATAAGATGAAGTTTAAAGACCTTTTAAAATATCTTGTCTGTATGAACTGCTTTGGCTGTGCTACTTCAAAATTTCACACTTATCTAAATGTTACTTGACTTTCCTTTCTAATTTTACAAGCAGTTCAAGAGTGAAAATGGTTTTTACACCCATTTTGTTTGTTTGTGTACAAAATTACCCAAACAAAGGCTTAATTCTCATTGCACTGATTTTGTGAAAACTAAATGAAAAAAAAACTAAATAAAATAACTCAATTACACAAACAGTTGCAAAGTAATAGCATGTGCTACTTTGCCAAAAGTTTAGCTAAATAGTTAGCTGAATGAAGTTAGTAATAGTTGATACTGATCACAGAGCATGAATATGACTCGGTAAATGCAGTATTATTTCTTGTGATGGTGTATTTTGGACATATCAAAAGATTTGGGGTCAATAAGAATTTATTTTGGAATGAAATGAATACTTTGAATTAGCAATCATTCTTTAATTGATCAAAACTGAATCAATTCATGCGGCTTTTGATACTGAACCCAAACTTTCATGTCTACTATAGAATGTTTTTTATTAAACTAACCTCATCAAATTTGGAAAGTCATTGTAATATTTGCATACTGAATTGCTTCTTTTTTATACATTTCAAATTACTATCGATCGGTGTGTGTGCGTGCGTGCGTGTGTGTGTATGTTTTAAAGCTCGATCCTATTCAAGCCATCATTAACCTCTTTTGCTGCCTTGCAAGCACTGATATTTCCATCAGGAAATGCAAATCTAATTCTTACAACATTCAAGGTTTTGATGAATGCATAATCATCCCCTACATTTTGTGTGAGGTGCTGTTGTAGATGAGTAGTTGTGTACGGCAGGTGAAGCGGTAAGCATCTCTTCTAGTTCTCTTACTCTTTCCTCTTTCCCAGAGAAGAAAGAAGTGTCACCACTCTCACTCACTCACTCACTCACTCAGTCACTCACTCACTCATTCACACTTTTCTTCGTGCGATGTGTGCACACAAGCCACAGCTGCTCCTTCTGTCTCTCTTTCTTCTCACCTTCTCTTCTCAAACTCTTGCTTCTTCTCCTCCTCTTTGTCTTTTTTCTTGGCCTGTTTCTGTACATCTGAGCTCTGCAGAAGCAAACTCCTGCAAAACAATAGTAGAACAATTTGTTTAATTTTTAATTTTTTATTTTTTTGGCTGTAGCTTGCGATGTAAAAATAATAATTTTATAATTTGTCCATGAAAGATTGGGGGAGTATGTTTACAATGCAATAGTACATAAAGACTTTCCACTCTAAAAATGGCATTTCTTTGTAAATTTTACTAACTAATAACTAATTAACTGTGTAGGTAATTATTGTTTGCTTAGATTTTAGCTAAATTGCCTCATTACAATGTGTGATAGATCTTTATTATCAGTTTTTGGTTGTTGTTTTTTTTTTGGCCAACTTTCTAAATTACTGTAAACTTAAGTTAGTAATAGTTGTGTCCTGACTTGGAAAAAAAGGCCACTTACAAACCATTGAAATTTGGAAATGTGAAAAGTTTCACTCGGAAATGTGTAGTAAATTTTACAAATTAAATAAGCAAGTAATAAACATAATAAATTGGTAATACATTTTACAATTAACTTTAGCACATGATAAGTAACACATTAAAAGTAAATGCAACTTAAAAATGGAACAAGGAAATGTGAAATATAGTTTAAAATGTGCATTCACAACTTTCAAAAAATATTTACAGTGTAGTCTGGTCTGAAATGTTGCATGCACAGTCAGAAATGCAAAAAAAAGAAAAAAAGAAAAAAAAAAGAAAAAGTCTTTCAACCAATCAGATTAGAGGCCTGGAATCAAATGTACCACAGTTATAAAATGAAATGTTGCTTGACCAATCAGATTAGAGGGCTGATGAACTCAGCTGTTCCACAGTCATATATTGGAACACAGACAAAACTAAAAAAGTCACTGTTTAATGGAATGCCTCTCAGCCAATCAGATAAGAGGTGTGGAACCAACTGTTCTATTGTAATAAAAAGGAATGTTGCTCGGCCAATCAGATTACAGACCTGCTGGACTCAACTGTTCCACGGCCATATATTGGAACACAGACAAAAACTAAAATAGTCACTGTTTATCGAAATGGCTCTCAGCCAATGAGAGTGTCTGAAACCAACTGTTCCATGGAATTAAAATGTAAGGTTGCTCGACCAATCAGATTAGAGGCCTGCAGGACCTAACTGTTCTATAGTCAAATATTGGAAGCATAAAAAAATTGTTAGCATTTATTGAAATGCCTCTCAGATTCTCAGAATTTCATAGTCATAGATTGGAAAACAGACAAAAATAAATAATAATTATAATAATGGCTTCACAGCCAATCAGATAAAAACCAACTAAAACCAACTGTTGCTTGATCATGCTGCTCAACAAAAAAGATTAGAAGTCACTTTTATTGGAATTTCTTTCAGCCACTCAGATTAGACAAAGAAACAACACTATCTCACAGGAATTCCTAACTTTTTAGTGGCTAATTTGAATGATTTCATTTGCACAATTTAGGAAATATGATTTTTTTACTAATTAGTCACTTAACTGACAAGACATAAAATAGTTACATTTCAGGCTGGAAAGAAACCAAGAGCTGTATAGTGAAAAATGGAGATCTCCTCAACTAATCAGATTAGAATCCTTGAACCAACTGCTGCATTATCATGCTACTGGATTCCATATGAATCAGTTCATCAAATCCCAGCTGCACTCTATTAATAATTCTAACTTAATAGGCACAGAGACAAGTAACCTGAATAGTGCTTCAGCTCTCATTTCCTTTCTTTCTTTCTTTCTTTCTTTCTTTCTTTCTTTCTTTCTTTCTTTCTTTCTTTCTTTCTTTCTATTTTAACTAACACTGTTTCTCTTTCATTATCATTTTAATACTCACATTAGTCTTTTTTTCGTTCTTATTTGTGTATGTACAGTATTGATCAGAATTCTAATCGTGTGTTTTGTTTTCTTTTCTGTATGTGTAAATGTATTATATAATCACATTACGATTTGATTCATCAATTATGTAATCTGCAATACTTTGGCAATATTTGACAAGTCGTGCAAGAGCATTGCAAATTACATAAACAATGAATATAAAAGTGTAATGTGATTATATAATACATAAAGTCGAGCCCGAAATTATTCATAGCCCCCCCCCCCCCCCCGCCCCCCCACCACCCCAAATTAAAAAAAACAGGATGTACATGCTATAACACATCAGGTGGGGAAAAAAATTATGTCTGTTTTTATTTACATTTGAACAAAAACTTCAAATCAGAATTTGTCAGGGGTATGAATCATTTCGGGCTTGACTGTATATACAGTTTAATCAGAATTATTAGCCCTCCTGATTTTTTTAAGGGAAAGATTTTTTTTCCTACACACTAAACAATAGTTTTAATAACTGGCTTCTTTCATCTTTGCCATAATGACAGTACATTCCAGTATATTTTACCAGATTTTTGTCAAGATACTAGTATTCAGCTTAAAGTGCAATCTAAAGGCTTAACTAGGGTAATTAGGGAAAATTAGGGTTATTAGGCAAGACATTGTATAACGATGGTTTGTTCTGTAGACAATCGAAAAAATATTGCCTAAATATATTGACCTTAAATGGTTCTTAAAAAATTAAAAACTGCTTTTATTCTAGCCGAAATAAAACAAATTAGACTTTCTACAGAAAAATAATATTGGAAATACTGTGAAAAATTAATTGCTCTGTTAAACATCATTTGGGAAATATTTAAAAAAAAGAAAATAAAAATAATTAACGGGAGGGCTAAGGATTTTGACTTCAACTGTGCATACAGACAAACCCAATTTGATATGTGATAAATACACACACTAATAAGACAAAATACTAATCTGAGCAATAAAAAGATCATGAAAGAGAAACAATGTTATTAAAATATAATAAAACCAAATACAATGCACAACCGTCTCTCTATTAATTCAATTCAATTTAAAATTGCTTCATTGGCATGACTGTATGTGATACAACATTGCCAAAGCTTGAAACAGGAGAACAAATATAAAACTACAATAAAATATCAAAATAAAAGAATAAAAACAAAATATCATAATAATTCAAATAATAAACTCAAATAAACAAATGTAAGAAATAAAAGGAGAACATTTTAAAACAGTGTTCAACATATAGACCATTTTGAGGGATGTAAACAATAACAATGGTCCTGACGCATTTCCTGTTTTACATTTTAAATTTCCACAGCTTCTGAGAGTCCAAAAAGGTCCACATACTGTATTGATAAATAATGTTACGGTAGCCTTTATATCATTCATTTATGATTGATTCACCTCTCGTTACAGATATGAAATAGTTTGACAACAAGCAGGAAGTGTCCATGGGCCAATGACATGAACACATTGAAATGGTCTATAAAAACACACACACACACACACAGAAAAAAGGCTACTGTGGTAGACAGTAGGGAAGCATACAGTAATACATGCATTACATGCACACATATTCTCTCTCTCTATCTACAGTATCTCTCTCTCTCTCTCTCTCTGTGGCTGTGTCTGGTGTAGCTGTAGTGGTGCAGTCCAGTAGATGTTGATGGTGGTCCTCAGCTGGTGCTGTGTTTCGACGCATGCATGCTTGCCCTGTCTCTGTGTGTGTGCCAGTCTTAGGGGGTCCGATTCGCTATAAAGTTCAAGCCTTCCACTTCTGATGGTTGAACTTAAGCTTTTTATTTTTTTACAATTGTGTTTGTGCCTGTTTTGTTTTTCCTTCTCTACTTTATCTTCTTAAGTGTTTAATTTCTTTTGGGAAAATGATATGCATGGTCTCGTGTCTACACATCCCCCCCTAAGTTCTTCTTTTCGATTGTTTACACTGTTTTAGATTCTTTTTGGAGTCTGAATGATTGATATCAAGGGTCCAAGATTAACATGCGGTAAATTAAACGTTACTTGCTTAGTAATAAATTGCTGATTTAATGTGATTCATAACACATATAACACAATTAATGACTTTAATTTATATTTAAGATACCAAAACCATTTTATTTTCATGTTTTTCTTCTTTCACATTTTCCCCCGTATATAATATCAGTAAAAACAACTTAATAATTGCATTGTCATATAAACAATGAGTAAAACATTGCAGAATACTTATTTATTACTGGTCGATTCTGTAGAGTTAATGTTGGACCCCATCAAAATCATTCTGATGTTTCATTTTTGATGTTAAATACAAGTATTTACCTCATTCGGGATAGATTTGGGCTGCTCTTCAATAATAGGTTCTGAGCGTGACGAATATAGTCATATCCATTCATGAAGAAACACTACTGCAGAGCTGAGTTGTCTGTGTTTTTTCTGTATATTGTGCTTTTGAACTTGCTGGATTCCCTTTCCTTACGAAGACCTCATGAACATGAAACTGCCAAATCGAGTGTGAAAGGCTTGTGACTTTTTGCAAATGCTAACCAGTATAAGTAGACATCGATTGAGTTTTATTTCCGATATCAGATCATTCATATTGTACAAGTCAAAACTGTATGTCTGTCCAACTGGGCAGTTTTTATGTAGAAGTTTAACAAATTAAAGGCCATTTGAAAATGTTTATTTGTTTGTCCTGTTTGTCGACTAATTGAATGGTTGTGTGTGTAATGTTTTGCGTTTCATTCACACTCTGATCATCAGACATACAATCTTTTTGTTTAACTGAATGTCCCCAAAATAAGCACTAAAAATAATGGGTTATATGCATTTACTGATTTCAGCCAATGATAAAACTTCTGATGAAAGCTTAATATGACTTTTTTTCAATTTCATAAGGTTCCTTTTGAAGCATCAATATTGTAATGTCATTAAAAATATACAGTGGACCCGGAAAGTATTCATAAAAACTGGGATTTGGATCCTATTTTAATGTCAGGAAATATTTTAAAAGAGACTTACTGTGTTTCAATATTACAGTGGACACACTATACCTACACACAGTTCTGTCCAAGCAGCTTACAAACGTTGATTTTCATTACAGGTGCCCTTTAAATAAAATATAAAGTTTAAATAATAATAATAATAATATATTTTTAAATAAAATATACATTTTAGATGGATAAATGTATGCTTTGACATCTAAAGATAACTGGATTAGCAAGTGCTACAATTACTAGAACTAAAATAAAAATAAATGGGAAATTGACAGACAAGAATAAATAAAATAATGAATGAAAATCTCATGTTTATTACCATTATTTGATCATTGACCATTAATGTGATGAGTTGAGTGTTCATCACATTAACTAACTATAAACTAATCATTGTTTCTTATTAATGGGAATTCTACTAATGGGTTCTACTAAAATTTGTATTAAGACCGGTGTACAGTGTTCAGTGTTATTTTGATTAACTAGCAATTAAAACACGTTTAAATATTAATAAAGAAACATAAAGGTGTAATGTTCAAGTTTATTACAGTTTTTTTCAGACTCTTTTGTGCATTTCTCACAACACTATTTACATTTGCACAACAGTTAATGCATTTCTCAAAACAATTAGTCATTTGTGCACATCCTAGTAGCAGTTTCTCATTCCTTTCAACAAATTGCAAATGCTTTCGGACATGCATCAATTGCTTTCATTCTACTCTCTGCTATTTATAAGATTATCATCTGCTTATGTCATGTCAGTCAAAATTAACTAAACTTGTGAATGCTGAATAGTCATTCCATATAAAACTAACAGTCCTCATTTCATAACTTGAGTCATCACATACAAAAATGTTGAACTTGATGTCAAAATCGGTCAAGCAAACTTTATTAAAAAAAAAAATTTTATCTTTATTTTCCTGAAAATATCTTTA